ATATATATATATATATATATATATATATATATATATATATATATATATATATATTTACAAGTCACAGTAAACAACTGAACCATTAACATTTTTAATCATAACATTTTTTGTATAAAATCTACATTAACAATCTAAATGGTCCAAAAAAGGACAATTAAAAAAAACCTGTCAATGGCAATGTTTGAAAATGATGCACATCTCCTGCTATGACTGCAGCTGGGCGGGGCTGCTCCGCGCGGACTGGACACCTGTGAGTGCTTTGGGACGGAGAGGAGCCCACGGCTGCACCCGCTGCCCGGTGAGAAGAGTAAGGACGATACGTGCTTTCGCGTCAGAGTCTCCAAAAGTCTCCAGTAATACCAGAAAAAGTCGCTAGATTTGTCGCTAGTCGCTTTTTGAAAACGAGTCGCTAGAGGGATCTAAAAACTCGCTAAATATAGCGACAAAGTCGCTAAGTTGGCAACACTGCTTAAGGTAAAGGCGTGCAGCTGTACCTGGTTATAACCAATAGGGGGCCTCTGGCTGAAAACTGCTCTGTGACACTCGCAGTGCATTGTGGGCCCACTGGCTCAGTCAAAAACAGACCGTGCAAAAATGGTGAGTACTCATGAGCTGACCTTAAAATACTATTAATGGCTCATTACTGGATTCGATTTTACAGGTTATGTATTTATTGTGTATTGCGTAGTATAACCTTGGGCAGAGATGTTTGTTACAGATGTATAGTCTTTATTTGGCTCCTTTCTTTCGCTATATGCTAGCTAATTAGCCAGCAAAACCGCCGAGATAGAGGTGGCTGGTTTGATGTCGCTCTACATGTCGCATATTTGTAAAATTGTTAAACCTCGTAGGCCTACGAATGGCGCTCTTTGTGTGTATTTTTAAAAGTTCATAGTAAGTTAAATGACTTTGCTACGATCTGGCGATTTTAGAGAATCCTACCGTTGGATTGATTACCTCCCGCTTACAACCTTGATGATTTAATTCGCCATCTAACTTTATTAAATTGATGTAGCCAGATAAGAGTTGCGGACTGGACGTATAAAAACAAATGATCGTGTTAAGGGATAGTCATCCTGTCCGTAGCCACACTTGTCTAAAAACTATGTAGGGTACGTTTTTAAACACAGTGTCTGTGGTTAAAAAAGTCATTTTGATCATATGGTCTGTTGGAATTCGCCGTGGTGTTGACTCCTGACCGCGCTGAAGGCAACGATACCTTTGGTTATTAACACGGTTAATGTAATCGTAACGTTTTTAATATGAACAAACACATGCATGCATTTATGAATGAATATGAGGAATAAAAGAGATGGAATAGATGGCAGTTTATTTAACATTACCTCTTGAATTTATTTTGCTTACAGAGACTGAAATAAGTAAATGTATTAACGCCTGCGGTGTTTCGCCCCCAGGATGTGTTTCTTATGATCCGCCGTCACAAGACCACCATTTTCACAGACGCCAAGGAGTCCACCACTGTGTTCGAGCTGAAACGGATTGTGGAGGGAATCCTTAAAAGGCCACCAGAGGACCAGAAGCTCTTCAAGGTAAAACTTGTGATTCCCTTTTTTTTATTTTTGTGATTCCTTGTCAGCTTTTTCGGTTTCAGTTGTTTCACAGTATCCAGAAATGCTATTTAACCACACAAAGTGCTTGAAAATCTACTGTAAGTACAGCGCACTTGTATTTATTTACTTGGCTGCTGTTTTTATCCAAAGCAATGTATAATTGAGAAAGCAGGGTCAATTAGTCCCTTGCTCAAGGGCCCAATAATGATATCACTGCTGGCCAAAGTATTTGAATCAGCAGCCTTCCACTCCCAAACACAGAATCCTAACCCACAGATCCACACCACCCTACATTCAGTATTGCCCTGAACAGTGTTCTACTCATGGTTGATGGGCAGTGTTCTGTTATGGCAGAATGCTGTTGGTCAACATTAATTGATTGAACCTCCTTGAGAAGCTACCCTTACTTAGACTTGAAAAAATATGGCTTTTTGCAGTAACATCAGTATTCTTATTCCAGATATGTCAAATAATGAAGTTACTGAGAATATTGTTAATTGTTTTTCTGCAGCTCTGAGTGGACATTTGCACACTTTATGGGTGATGTCTCTGAGCATATTCATACAAGATTTTCTTTTGTGTTTAGATAGATAGATAAACTTTATTAATCCCTCGGGAAGGTTCCTCCGGGAAATTCAGTTTCTAGCAGCAACAATACACCAGTATAATAGTACAGTTACACGATAATAAAGTAATAAGTAATAAAGAGTAATAAATAGTGGTTATAGTATGGTTACTAGTCAGCAGTAATTTTCAGATGGCCTGCAGTGTTAGGATTAGTGCACACTGTCTAATTTAATGAATAAACTAGGGGTGTAATGTTATTCAAAATGAACAGTTGGGTACACGCCTCGATTATTGGGTTCAGTGTAATTTTGGTACAGCTTGAAAACAGAATTTGTTTTGAAATTATGATTAAAACTACAAACACATGAACAGTTGTAAACCAAATATAAGATATAACAAAACATATTGTATAAATAAAAAGTCAGGGAATTTCTTTTTCTTGAACATTTCTCTTCCTCCTGTACCGATTGCTGATTTTTTTGTGTGTGTGTGTGTGTGTGTGTGTGTGTGTGTGTGTGTGTGTGTAAAGCAACCTTGGGATTGTGAAAGGCACTATATAAATCAAACTTGAGAATTCAAAAATTACTGCATCATAAGAATCATAATTAGGGCTGCCACTAATGTTTTTCTATCAATGAATCTATGAATTATTGTACTGATTAGTCAGTTAATCTAAATGATTAATTTTCCTCCAGAAAGTCAAATTGACTGTTTCACTTAAGTAAATTTTATTTTGACAATAAATTATGACAAAAATAAAACATATAATAAATATATATAATAAAACAGCTTGAGGCCAGGACAAGTACAAATTAAGCTTGGTATTAAGATTTTTGTGCTGCATGGCAAAGGATAGTAAATGATACAGTAAAGCATACCTTGATGGGCTCTCCTGTTAAGAGTTTGAGAGTGGAAAAATATGAATAAAGTACAGTCTTCCTGGAGATGAGTTGCATGGGACAGTGACCGATAGTGTCATCCTATGATATGACTGGAGTCTTTTTGCTTTGATTGCAGTTTGAAATGTACGTCTACATGCTGTGGAACTCCTAGGCTGGCCCAGTACCAGCCAATGACAGTCATTTTTTTTGTCGATATATTTAACATGTAAACAATGTCATTTAAGACAAACTTTTTTAATGCTTACATGCATTATTCACAGAATAATGTGGTCCACCTTGCATCAACCAACTGGAGCTGGACCTGCAATTGAGTAGGATGCTTTGTCATCTAAAGGAAATCCTCAAATGTTTATTGTTGAAGCCTTTTTCTGGATGGTAGCCACATCTAGTGCATATAAACAACCTACATTTAGCTTAAACATATCGGAATGTGTCGCATACTGTGGTTTGGATTAGGGCTGCTGTGACACTGAAAATGCATGAACATCAAAATTTTAAATTGATACGTTTTTTAAAAATTATTTTAATGAAATTACTTCTATGATTTCTAAAATGCTTCATCGTGACTTCAGTACTTACTGCTTCTATTATTTATAAAAACAAAAGCATGTGGTTTTCCGCTTACTAAATTTAATAAGCATAAAGATTACTAACTTGTGAGCATCACAATGCGCATCTCATTCATAATTTAAGCATACTATTAATCTGCTTATTGAATTGTGGGCAAAGATAATATCCGTGTAGTGTCGAAAAGCTGGCGTCCATTATATGAAGTTCTCAAATGACATAGTTTGTTGTCAAAATAAAATTACCCTAAATTAAATGGTCTATTTGATAATCTGGAGGAAAACTAATCATTTAGACTAATCGTCCAATCGGTAAAATAGTCACTAGATCAATCCATAGAAAAATAGTCGTTAGTGGCAGCCCTAGTTTGGATTTACAAAGAATAGATTTGTTAGTATAGTTATTAATATCGTTATGTGCAGATTTTTTTGGAAATATGGGAGTGTTATGTCTATTCTGCATTCACTAATAGTCATAAAATGTATAGCAATATGTATAGACATACACAATAATCTTATTGTTCATTTTTGGATTTGTTCACGCAGCGGATATGTTTAAAATATGACTTTGTTATCATGTTGTAGTTTATATTCCATGGCTTCCTCTACTAACCCTTTTTTCCTGTTTTAAGGATGACCAAACGCTTGAAGACAGTAAGACGTTAGGGGAGTGTGGCTTTACTAACCAAACTGCGAGACCCCAAGCTCCAGCCACCGTTGGACTGGCTTTTCGTCTGAGTGGTGCGTATCTGTAACCTCTACTCTCTTAGTAGTAAACAATACCAGTAGGGATGCGAAAAATTATTTTGATAGTTGAGTAATCTTGAAATCAGATGATCCACTAATTGATGACTCTGGCCAAAACGCAGGGTTTAATGAAAAGCGCAAGTACTTTATTTTAAAAATATTGAAAGGTATTTAAGTCACACTTCTAATTAAAACCTTACAGTGTGGAAAGTCTTTCTTTAAAGTGCCTATCAATAATTGTATTTTATGGGTACTTTTCCACTGTACCAGGTCTTTAAAAAATCAGTACTGCCCTTTTCCCTTTGTGCGTTTTTCCACCGCACCAGGTACCGTACTTTCGGTACTTCCATAAAGTGCTGAAAGTTTGGTACTTCTTTCATGTCGGTTTTCCACTGGTGTAAAAAATGGTACCGGAGCCAAATGACATCATCAGTGACCGCCCCTGACTGACAGCCCAAAATTAAAACTAACAGTTGAGGCTGGAAAATGCGGTTTATTGTTATGTCAGCTTCTATCACAGTATAAGATTCAGTAAAATCTAAATCATGCTGCCATCAATTACGTTTACGTAGGTACACTTACTTTGGCTAAGCCGATCAAAGCAGTAAGAATTAGCTTACTGCTAATTAAGTCTTTTGAAAGCAAACAAATTATTTAATTATGTTTTTTGATTTTCAAGCAGCATTGTTCGGTGTTTCGCGTGTGCCCCATTTCTTCCAAGCGGCTTGGTATTACGGTATTCCGGGTTTCCCAGTTTCCTATGTTCCTCCTGTCTATCAGGAAATAATGTTTCCCCTAATATTAAAGCAAAGAGGTATGTGAAATGTCTGAAAATCACCCAGGTACATTATTACATGTGAATACAGTAGATCATCACGCATAATATAGTCTTATAAGCAATACTATACCGTTTTCATCAAGAAATATTTCTATCCAGCAAATTAAGTAATTTCATTTATTATCTGTAAAAACAAAAAACATAGAAAAGGCATGTGATGTTTTAAAATTAATATATGGCTTGTTTACCTCAAGAGCTTCGTAAAAAGACATGAAAACAACAGTGAAACTGTGTACAAATCAGCGCGCGACAGGGGAAACATAGGAAAACTGAATTGCCCGGAACGGCAAAAACTTTTATTTCGAGTCGTGCCATCCAAATCCCACTGGATCTGTTCATCCGACCATGTGGCGATTAAAGCCTGTGTTTCCTCGTTTGTCCTTCCTTTCATTTTACTTTTTTATATTTTTGTTTCTATTGCTTTTTATTTTGTTTCTCGCTGTGATCGCTCTGTTTGCTGTGTGTTTCAAAAGATGGCGGTTGTATTTTGTGTTTCAGCGGCAGGCTATTTGCATAACCAATCGACAGCAAATACATTTGCAAGTCCCAGCCCACAGTACCGAAGTACCAAAGAAGTACCCAACTGGTTTGGCACTTTCGGTACTCGAGATTTCGGTACTGGTACTCGACCGGAAGTCAATGGAAAAGCGAAAGTACCGTACCGAAAATACCGTACTTTGTGCGGTGGAAAAGCGCCCTTTGATATCTGGTCCATTACCACAGTACCAAACAGGCTAGGGTACTGGTTTGGTACTTTAGTACTTTGGAGTGGGACTTGCAAACATATTTATTGTCGATTGGATATGCAAATAACCTGTCTCGCAAACACAAATTACAGCTGCCATTTGGAAAAACCGTAGTTATGAACTTGGAAAACAACGATAAACAAAGTAAAAAACTAAATAATAATGGATTTGTGAACAAATGAAGAGATTTAAACATTAATTGTGATCTGGTCTGAAGAACAGATTCAATGAGATCTGGATGGCATGACAAGAAATAAAATACTTTCTAGGGCTGCACTACTTGGACAATTTTTCTATATTGTGATGTGAGTTTTTTGCGATATTGTGATATTTGTGAACTTAAAAGTTAAATTTACCATAAATAAACTATAGTCAAATAAAACTTACCTACAGATGTCAAATAAGTTGGTGGTGTTGCAGTGAGCCAACAAATAAACTGCTTTTGCTCAATATCTCTGGAATCTGAAATATTTCCGCACAACAGAAGGTGAATGGCTGAGTCACCAGTTCTTGTTTGCTTTCTCCTCCCCCACTTATTTTGTTTGTTTATCACAAACGCCTTTAGGACTATGGAGCCCCTAAGAGGTCAGTGTGAGAAAATATTTTTTGAAATAGTTTTTACTTCCCACGCAATACTTTTGTGATCCCACCACACTTGCCGACTTGCTATTTGCTGCAATGTGATGGCAAAGATAAACCTGAATAATACAAACATGTCCTGTAAAGTGTGGTTTAAGCATTAAAGTATGGGGGACAATGTACACCATGTAATTTATATTATTATGTGTTTTTATGCATATTAATAAATAACACTGTGTCAATTTACTGCCAGTGACATTAAACAAGACTGCTGGGCTATTGAACATGAAATACACACACAAACATCGAAATATATTACAAACACAAAGATATTATAGCTGGAAAACTGCATATAAAGCTAACTTTATGGTGGTGTTGGAGAGAAGGTTTAAACTCGAACCCTCTTTCTGGAATACAGTGGTACCTCAGAACTTGAATTTAATCCATTCAGAACTCGGGTTCGAATCCTAAAAAGTTTGAGTTCTGATCGAATTTTCCCCATAAGAAATAATGGAAAACCAATTAATTGGTTCCCTGCCCCAAAAAATTGTACCTAAATATGTTTTTTTTTTGCATTTAAACACAAAATGAACAGGATAAAACAAGAAGCGCATATACTGTACTAAACACATCTAAGCACATTTATCAAAACAGTAATTTGTAAAGTAAGAAAATAAATGTATCCAAACAATGTGTAAAGTTAAAAAAAAAAAACTGTGTCCTTCCATGTGTCACGCCCCCTTGTTAACCTCGTGTGGAATCCCCAGCTGTTTCTGGTTGTTGTTATTAGTCCTCTGGATTTAGTCCGAGTTTCAGTTTGTTTCCCCAGTCCGGTCATTGTATTGTCCGTCTGCGTTTTGCCTGCCTTACCTGTAATTAAACCCCGTATTCCCCGATACCCTGACGTCTGCGCCTTTGTCTCCGTTACGTTCCCGCTCGGCAGGACAATATTATTATAATTAAATGTATTAATGGTTTATTATTAATGATATTAAAATAATTAATAATATATTATTTTAAAATGTATTTTATTAGACAGTAATAGTAATTATTATATATCTGTCTAAATGTATTTTTACTGTCTAAATATATGTATTCAGCTAGTATAAACATGCACAATGCTATCACAGTGAATGCGAGGCTGAGACTGAAGCATTACCCTTTGTTTACGTGGAGAGATGTGCCGTGTGACTCATTTCCTCACGCGTACAAGTTTCCTTAGGTCGGTGTGACACCATGATAAACTACACCATGGTAAAGTTAACTTATATTCAGTTTTACAGCTGTAATGTCAAACAACAAAAGCAAGCAACACCCCTTGATTTTCCAGGTTTCTTTAAAAGTGAATTTTAATATTTCAATGTTTGTGTGTGCACTTCACATTCAGTAGCTTTACTGTCTTATTTACAGTCACTAGTGGTGAGGACATGATATCGTTTAGGTTTATACTTATTAGTCCATTAATTCTGTTTTTTGTACTTCAAATGGGCACGATACATTTATTGGTAACGGACAACTATTGTGATGGAACGCAAAACTATTTGAAAAAATATTTTCTACCTTGACCACTTGGGGGCTCCATATATAAGTGATTGAAACTGCAATAATGATTATGATTGGCTTGGAGAGCGCATTTAGCACTCAGGCCAAGCGGTGGCGATAAACTTTAACCTGATTTTTTTTTAACCTGTGCTGTAAAAAGGAACAGTGTAAAATTGCAAAGCTTGCTATGTTTTGTTTTGTTGCTATGTTTTAGCTAAGCTTACTCCATGGCACGTTTGGATTTCAACATACCAGAATTATATTACGAACTGTCATTGTTTTTCAAAATACCATATACTGTGGTATATTGTCTGGACAGTATGAAGGTATAAAAAAGATTCATCTTAGCCCAGTTGACTTGTGGTATTTGCAATGTGAAAATTGTATGTGCTGTGCATAGGGGTGGGCGGTATAACCAAAATCTTCTATCACGGTAGAAGCAATTTTCTACCTCGATAACGATATATATCACAATATAG